CAAGCACTACTATTGTTACAGCACCAGCCTGGGGAGTGCATTGCCCTGTCCTCCAACTACAGGCGACACCACTCTGCCATACTTGGCTCCTGCAGGGGGTCTGCTGGCTGCACCCAGCAGGAGCCTTTGGGCTGCTTTTTCTGAAGAAGCTCTTGGTGGAGACTCAGACAGTGAATGAACTGTGTAGCTTTGGAGGAGGGACCATTCTCCCCTCCTTAAGAGCTCAGAGTGTTCTGCCCCTCCCCCCTAACCTTCCCGCCTATCCCTTTCTTAGTGTAGAAAGATTTAAAACCAGTATCACTGGCCTGCCTTTCCATTCCCTGTGGCCCACCCTGCTGAGTTCAGTCCCTCAAGGGGATCAGAGTGCCCTACAGAGCTGGGACTTTGGAGAAAGTCAGGAGGCTTTTGCTTGAGAATCAGATGGATGGGTGATGGGTTGTGTGGCTACATTGTAGGGAAGAGAGCTACTCCTATGTCCCCTGTGAGCTCAACCATGATATTCCAGGAAGGGGAATTATCCAACCCCTACCCCCTAGTGGTTTTCTGGCAACACTCCCAACAGGAGATTGGATCTGCCCTGAAGTCCCCGCTGAGCTCAGTTCTCTCCTTTGTTGCCTAGAGATGCTTTTTTGTCATGCCCAGGTACCAGCTTGAAAGGGTTGTCAGTTCCAAAACTGAAGTTTGGTTCAACAACAGAGACATTTTTTTCTGTGAACAACTTAAAAAGAACTGAATTGTTTGAGATGGGAAACATTCGAGGAACAAGGTTTGACGGTATGACCCAAAGAGAGAACAAGAGAAATCCCCAGAAAAAGAATTAAATGAAATGGAAGCAACCAAGATACCAGATGCAGTGTTTAAAACAATGGTTTAAGAATGCCCAAGGGCCTTAGGAAGAGAACTGATGATCTCAGTGAGAACTTAGTGATATTACGTATTAAAAAGACATAGAATCCTGGCTGGTGTGCTCAGTGGTTAGAGCACTGGCCTGCACACACTGAAGGGTCATAGGTTTGATTCCCAGTCAAGGGCACATACCTAGGTTGCAGGTCCTATTCCTGACCTGGTTGAGACATGTGTGGGAGGCAACCAATCAATATGTCTCTCTCACATTGATCTTTCTTGCCCCACCCTTCCATTCTCTCTAAAAATCAATGGAAAAAAATATCCTTGGGTGAGGATTAACAAAAAAAATTTAAAAAATAAAAAGGACATAGAAACCATAACAAAGAACCAGTCAGAAATGAAGAATACAATATCTGAAATGAAGAATATACAAGAAGGAATCAATAGCAGGTTAGATAAATCAGAATATCCTACTAGGACAGTTATAATCAAAAACAGAAAACTACAAGTGTGGTGAGGAGGTGGAGAATTTCAACCCCCCATGCACTGCTACTGGTGAGAATGTAAAATGGCACAGCCGCTGTAGACAACAATTTGGCAGTTTCTCTAACAGTGACACACAGAAATACCATATGATGCAGCAATTTCTCATTTAGGTATACACCCCAAAGCTGCAGCATTACTCACAACTGCCAAAAGATGGAAGCAACCCAAGTGCCCATCAACAGGTGAATAGACAGATATAAACACACTGTGGTACACAAGTACAATGCAATATTATTCACTCATAGAAAGAATAAAGTTCTGCCCAGCCAGCATGGCTCAGTTGGTGGAGTGTTAACCTGTGAAGCAAGAGGTCCCCGGTTCAATTCCCAGTCAGGCACATGCCCAGGTTGCAGACTCGATCCCCAATAGGGGAGGTGTAGGAGGCAGCCGATCAATGATTCTCTCTCATCATTGATATTTCTATCTCCCTTTCTCTCTCCCTTCCTCTCAGAAATAAATTAAAAACATATATTTTTTTAAAAAAAGAATAAAGTATGACACATGCTATATGACATGAATGAACCTTGAAGACATTACATTAAGTGAGATAAGCCAGGTTGAGATAGACAAATATTTTATGATTGCACTTATATGAGGTATGTAGAGTAGTCGAATTCATAGAGACAGAGTAGAACAGAGGATACCAGGGCTGGGAGGGAGGTAGTGGAGGAACAGGAGTTATTGTTTAATGGGTATGGAGTTTTTGTTTGGTCTGATAAAAAGTTCTGGAAATAGATAGTGGTAATAGTAACACAATACTGTGAATGTATTTAATGCCACTGAATTCTACACTTAAAAACAGTTAAAAAGGTCAATTTTATGTTTACCATTTATGTTTATGTGGAAATTTTACCACATTTTTAAAAAGTCGGAAAACTACAAATAACAAAAAACTAACAATAATCATTTTGTCACACACACTAGCACATTCAAAGGCCTCCTTATTCCATGTTTTATTCTACATCTGAAGACACATTTATGTGGGCTCCTTTCAGGGCAGGGAGACAGCCAGCAACTTTCAAGATGAGCCCTGTGAGGACAGAGGTATACCAGCTGTCTCTTCTCCTCCCCACCTGAGCCTGGCCTTGGAAAGTAGCCAGACTTTTTTTCTTTTAATATATTTTGATTTTTTACAGAGAGGAAGGGAGAGGCACAGAGAGTTTGAAGCATCGATGAGAGAGAAGCATTGATCAGCTGCCTCCTGCACACCTCCCATGGGGGATGTGCCCGCCACCAAGGTACATCCCCCCAACGGGAATCAAACCCGGGACCCCTCAGTCCACAGGCCAACGCTCTATCAACTGAGCCAAACCAGTTAGGGCAGTATCCAGACTTTTTAATATATTTATTCACTCCACCTTCTGAGCTTGCACACCCGCTACAGGATGCTGTATACTACACTGAGTCCTACACTCTACCAGGATCCCCCCTGAGACCCTACACTGGTCAGAGAAGTCCTTCCCAGGTAGTCTAAGTACATACATCACACATACACACAAAATAAAGGAAATTCACCTGCAGGACTTCTAAGGAAACTGGTTAAGTCTATGAAAGTCTTTATCAACCATTTCCATTCACACTGATGTCACGGTAATACAGCTAATGGGAGGTCTGACAGAAGCAGTGTAATGGGCACATCTACAACTTGTACTGAACCCTTCCTTAACCATGATCTGACTTCCAGCCTCAGGCGACAATTTCCTCAGGTCCCAGACTTGTGGTGCTTGGTTGGTACTCCAATTTCAGAGTGCCAAGTGGAATAAGTGAAAACACAGGGCTATATAAATATCTGGATGAGAACTCCTTACAACATTAGGCTTCTCCCAATTCATGCCATGAGCAGACAGAACCAGAGCCATCCATGAGGGTCCACTCCTTCCAGACCCCACAGGTAACAGATTCGAATGGGAACAAGAGGCCTGCTCAGATCACCTGTGAGGAGGGGCAGGGCATCGGAGGAGTCACTCGTCTCACTGCAGGCCTGGCAGGTTTCACACCTTTATACAAAAGCTGACCGCACCACAGAGAGAAGAGTTCCTTAACTTAAATATAAGGGCAATTTTTAAAAAATTAAATTTTAAAAATAGATATACCATCGTACTGCTTTTGTTTATGGTTTTAAAATTCATCAGAGACCTCAAACACTGTCAAGTACCTGCACGTACTTTTTAAACTGCATTTCTTTAATCTCTGGATGCAAAAAAATTTAAAGACCCCATGTTTTCTCCTTGACCCTCACACGAAAACAGAATATTAGAAAGGCTAATGCCCTGACTGGTTTGGCTCAGTGGATAGAGCGTCAGCCTGTGGACCAAGGGCATGTACCTTGATTACGGGCACATCCTCAGTAGGGGGTATGCAGGAGGCAGCTGATCGATGTTTCTCACTCATCGATGTTTCTAACTCTCTAATTCTCTCTGTAAAAAACCAATAAAATATATTATAAAAAAAAAGAAAAAAGAAAGGCTAGCCACTCCTTGAAACTGACCTTAAGTACTTTTCCTGAGATATACATTCAAAACATGTATTTGTCATGTTTCTTCATGTAGGAGTGCTCTTGCTAGCACTTCTTTCTTAATCTCATCTATCCACTAACTAGCTAAACTACAAACATTCACAGGTTGGGCCCAGTGTCATTTCTCTCCATACGCCACTGACCTCACTTCAGCAAGAAAAAATCCTGTGTCTAGAGGCAGCACAAACTAATTACATTAGTTAGCTCCCATTACCTTATCAAACAACCAAAAAGGAAATGATACCATGCTAGAAAACGTACAAAAACACATCCTCAATTTTATTCACCAATAATCAGGCCCATGCAGCACAGATGGACCAATTTCTGCCTCCATGAATTTTAAATTGCTTTTTACAACTTTTCTCTGGCTCTGATGAGCTAATGTTTCACAATATGCTGGCTCGTGAAATTCAAGCAACTGTGCCTTCCCTTAAGCTCCTTCATTCAGCCTCAGCCATAAACCACACATTGCCTACAAAAGTCTACTTAAAAGAAAAATGAAATTATCCTAAAATGCCACACAGTAGAAACTGCTTATAAATGTATCTGAGGCTGCCACGGTAAGGGACACCTGCATGGGTTTTTGCTCACACAGGACACGCGGAGCCCACAGCCGCAGCGTCATGCTGAAGGCAGCGGCACCAGAAGAGAGGTGTGGACACGTTCCTGACATGGCCTTAAGGAGTGATACAGATGCACTCCCACTCTCACACGTGGTGGTGTCTATGGGAAATGAAGTGCATCCTCCTTTGTTCTTGCCAGTGGCCTAGAAGCAGACGAGAAGGAAACCTGTGGTGCGGGGACTCTGGTACACACTAGTGTACATCATTACACGGCATGCGTTTCAATCCAGGAGGCCCTTTTCATGGTATTTGTTATATGAAACAGTGGACTTTATTCTGAGTTTATAAAGGACCCAGAACAATGTAAGGAGAGTTCTCCTACCAATCATTGTCAGATACAGCTTCCCAATTCAAGTTTGTAATATTTCAAAAAACAATAGTTGGAGCACATCAATGACTCTTCTGACTTTCTTTATTCAAAAATAAAAGAGGCACAAAAATATAGAACTAAAATGTCCAATGGCATGTGAACTAGCAAGTCACTAAAAGTTTAAAGGTAAACTTGCATTTGGGGCATTAGTCATAATTACTAGAGAAAGAATGAATTGTTTTTCAATTAAATGTATCTCAGGGCTGGTGGTTACTTCATCTCCCATTTTGGGGGGACTCACAGGTCTCAGAAAGTCCCCTGAGCAGCAGGAGCCCTCTAAGAAGCCAGCACAGCTGACATGGCTGCTGCGACAGGATGGGTTCTTTCTCGGGCTTCCCTTGGCAAGATTAACTCGCCACCCACAAGTACCTTCACTTCCAGGGGGAGGTGTGTGGATACATATTCATTCACGTCCATCTCTAGTCAAGAACATCTGGCCATCTCTAACACATGGCCCTCGGTGATGGTTCAGAACACCAAGTGGGGACCTGGGAAGGAGGAGGGACATGCCTACGCATCACACTCCAGAGCTCGGAGGTCATCCAGGAGCTCCTGGGCCACGGCCTGCAGGCGGGGGTTGCGGCTCTTGGACATGGCCAGGATGCGCTGCAGGGGCAGAGAACTCCGGAGCTCAGAGGCCAACTTGGAGAAGACTTCTGGCTCCAGAACCACTGACTGGACAAGTCGCAAAACATGAAGACACACCTCTGCGTCTGGATCTAGGGGCAAGTGGTAACACTCTGGTTAGAATGAAACTCCTAATCTTGAGGTAGAATCTAACCTCAAGGGTTCTTGAATTTTCTGAATGACAGATTTGACAGTTTTGAAAATTATGAGCTGAACTAGAAATTGCATCAATTCTTGATGTAAAAACTTAGCTCATAAGAGCAGCATGAAAAACCTGAATCATCATCTATTTAGTAATATCCCATCTCAAATATTACAACCACATAACTTTAAAATGCTGAAAAATACGAGGGCTTTTCATGTTGTTGACGGTAATTCTATCCACTTGCAATACTGTTTTCACAGGTATTATTACACTTTCACTGCAACAAATCCCTCAGAAACCACATATGGATGTGGCGTCTGTGCAGGACACTGAGTTCCAGAGTCACAGGCCCCAGCACTCACATTGTATTCCACTTTTCCCACATGAAGTACAGAGCCGAGTAGCCCTGCATATATTGTAGCAACCATTTAAAAAGCTAGACTGAAACAACAGTCCAACACAAAGTTTTACCCTTAGCCAGGTGGACCCAGCTCTCCTTATCGTTTCTCCCTCCCTGGAGCCTTTACTGCTTGATTGGATACTGTAACTGGAACCGGGCTCAAAATCAGTACCTCTTTCTTAGCACCGTTCTTAAAAAGCCTTTTAAGTACGTGAATGGAAAGCGTGGACTGAGCAAACCTGCACTGGGACCTGCCACAATACCAAGGCCCACCCAGAGCTTTCCCTATTGAATCAGAGCCCTTGGGGCATTGTAAGGACTGCTGGGCTAGGGCAGGAGAAAAGAGAGCCCTACTGCACCCTGGGCAGGGCAGGGATGTCCAGTTCCAACTCCAATAGGTAAAGAGCTTGGAAACTGTCACCCCACCCATATAACAAGAAAAGAGGAATAAACTGAGAATCAAAGACTTTTCTTGAAATGAGGTTGCAGGGTAATGACAGCCAACATCAGTTTTCCTAGAACAGAAACCACTGGAGCCTAAACGGATAGGAACATGTAAATGATCATTTTGACAAACTGCTGGAAGCTGGGTGTGGAATACTACGATAGTAAGAAACTTCTGGGGGTGTGGCAATCTTAGGGGGGCCTCCACATTTTTGTGGGTTTGATCTCCAAGAACCCCAAAAGGTTCTCACATGGTCTGGCAGAGGGCAATGAGGAGTTACCGTCTTGAAATACATCTAGGTTGCTTCCCATGACAAACTTTTTTTTTTTTCCTAGAGGAGACTAAAGTCTCTTCACACAACAAGAACTACAGGAACTACATAAACAAAGGATGATAGCTGGGAGACTGAAAAGCACAGACTCTATCTAAGGAGGAATTCTTAGGGAAACCCAAAGGAAACAGGGGAAATGGTGAGAACAACTGGAATATGAAGCCCCTGGAGTCTCCATAGAACACAGCCCAACCCCTAGCCAGATTAACATAAAACCACACACGGAAGTCCTATTTACCCAGTAAATAATGTCTATCCTTCAACCAAAAATTACAAGGCACACTAAAAGGAAAAAGCACAGTCTAAAGAGACAAACCAGGTATCAGAACCACACTCAGATAAGACAGAGATTTTGGAATTATCAGATAGGGAATTTAAAATAACTACTAGAGGCCCGGTGCACAAAATTCGTGTACTCAAGGGGGGGTTCCCTCAGCTCAGCCTGTGCCCTCTTGCAGTGCAAGAGCCCTTGGGGGATGTCTGACTGCCACGGAGGCGGGAGAGGCTCCTGCCATCATTGCTGCGCTTGTCAGCCGTGAGCCCGGCTCAGGGCTTCTGGCTGAGCTGTGCTCCCCCTGTGGGAGCGCACTGATCACCAGAGGCAGCTCCTGCATTGAGCGTCTTCCTCCTGGTGGTCAGTGTGCATCATAGTGACCAGTTGTTCTGCTGTTCAGTCGATTTGCATATTAGCCTTTTATTATATAGGATGATTTGGCCTGGCCACCGTGGCTCAGTGGTTGAGAGTCAACCTATGAACCAGGAGGTCACAATTCAATTCCTGGTCAGGGCATATCCCCAGATTGTGGGCTTGATCCCCAGTGTAGGGCGTGCAGGAGGAAGCTGATCAATGATTCTCACTCATCACTGATGTTTCTGTCTCTCCCTCTCCCTTCCTCTCTAAAATCAATAAAAATATATTTAAAAATAAAATAACTATAATTAGGATGCTTAGGGCTCTGTATTAATCAGCTGCCAAAACAAAATAGTACAGACAAGGTGGCTAACACAATAGAAATATATTTTCTCACAATTCTGAAGGCTGATAGTTCAAGATCAAGGTGTCAGCAAGGTGGGTTTCCCTAAGGCCTTGTCCTACAGATGGCCTTTTCTCTGTCCTCACACATGCCTGGTGTCTCTCCTATGTCCTAATCTCTTCTTGTAAGAACACCTGTCAGATTGGATTAGGATCCACTGTAAAGGCATCATTTTAACTTAATTGCTTTTTTAGAGGCCCTAGTTCCAAATACAATCAGAGATACTAGGTAGGTTAGGGCTTTAGCATATGAATTTTCAACAATTCAGCCCATAACAGGCTCTAATGCAAGAACAGAAGAACAATGTAAACAGAGAGATGGAAACTACAAAAAAAAAAAAAGAATCAATTTCAGCTTAAATATTCTCTCTTCAGAGAGTCATTCCCTTACCACCAAACTGGGTGAAATTACCCTGTCACCCATCACCCTGTCTTAATTCTCTGAATACCAATTATTCTATGGAGTTATCTTCTCTCCTCTCCCACTGAAAAGCTACAGGAAAGCAAAGACCTGTCTGTCTTGCCCATTACTCTATCTCCAATACAACAAATATCTGCTGAATGAATGAGATGATTGTATTTTATGTGGTCAAGGCTGATGTAATATAAATGAGAAGGAAATTTCTGAACAAATAAAATAATTAGGCAAGCTGCAGAGACAGCAGTGTAGCCCTTTAAAAAGGGCCAAGTAAAACAAGCCACTGGAGGTCATAAATGAGACACACGTAGTCAAGGGTGCAGCCCTACAGGAACAACTTCACGGTGACATCATCATAAGGAAACAGTCCAGTGACAGCACTGGAAGGGAACACAGACTAAGGGAAAGGGCAAATGGCTTGTAATATAAGCACCCAAACTGTACAGGGGGAGAATAACATGGAACTCAGGTTCATTTGGGCCACAGATTAACAAATGCTGAGTTATAATGATACAATTTCTCTTTTAAAACAACCACGGAAAACCTAATTACTTGAGACTGAGAACATCCCCACAGATGGCTCAATTTTGGGTTTAGAAATGGGTAAAGCAACTTGACTGAGAAAGGCATTCACCAACACAGACATGACACAGATGTCAGGATTACTTGACAGGAGTTTTCAAGAGCCTCCACAAAAATTCTTAACATGCTGGAAACAGATGAAAAACTAGAAAGTCTCAGCAAAGAAATAGAAGACATAAAGAACAAAATGGAAACATTATAACTGAAAAATACAATAACTGAAATTAAAAACTTGATGGAGACAGAATGGAGGAGCCAGAGAAAAGAATCAGTGAACTGGAAGATGGGACAATAGAAATTACCCAATCTGAATGACAGGGAAAAACAGAGCCTCTATGTCCAGTGGGACTATGACAAAAATCGAACACTCATGTCTTTGCAATTCTGGAAAGAGAGGGAAAGTCAGCAGGGCTGGAAAATACTCCAAGAAATAATGGCTGAGATTTTACTCTATTTGGCAACAGATACAAACCTACAGATCCAATAAGCTGAGCAAACGCCAAACAGGATAGACCTTAAGAAATATGTGCCAAGACACATCACAGCCAAACTTCTGAAAACTAAAGACAAAGTCTTGAAAGCAGCAAGAGAGAAATGAGACCTCATTTTAAAAAATATATATTTTATTGATTTTTTACAAGGGGAAGGGGAGGGATAGAGAGTTAGAAACATCCATCAGCTGCCTCCTGCACATTCCCTACTGGGGACGTGCCCGCAACCAAAGTACATGCCCTTGACTGGAATCGAACCTGGGACCCTTGAGTCCGCAGGGCAACGCACTATCCACAGAGCCAAACCAGTCAGGGCATGACTCCTCATTTATGGGAGAAAAACAATTTAATGATACTAGGTTTCTCATCAGAAACCAAGGAGGTCAGAAGCAAGTGACTCAATATTTTCCAGGTGTTGAAGCAAAAGAACTGTCAACTCAGAATTCTTTACTTAGGGAAAATGTCCTTCAGAAATGAAGGGGAATTCAAGACATTCTCTGTTGAAGAAAAATTAAGAAAAGCTGCTGCAGACCTACTGTAAAAGAATGGCGGGTCACACAGAAACTCATACAGGAATGTTCATGGACGCCTTTATCAGTAACAGCCTGTTGTGACAAGGTATCTCACAGGGGTGAAGTATGCAACCTGACATCTCCCCACCATCACTCTAGCAAAGCCAGCCTTTGTTTTCTCATGTGTAGACTGAATGTTTAATCATCTACATGGTTACTGTAGAGACTGAATAAGGAGACACATCAAAGTGTCTATCGAGACTCTGCGCACATAGCTGCATTCCATAAATAGCATTTCCAAACTACACAGAACAAACCTTCACCCCCGCTCTCCACCAGCAGCCCATTCTCATCACACAGGCCTCTGCTGCTCTTCCAACAGAGCAGCGCCACCACCACCTCAGAACTCTCGCACTGCCCATCCCCCTGGGCAACATGCTTCCCCAGAAACCCTGGAGCCAATGTCCCACTGCCTTCAGGCCTTTGTGTGGAAGTCAGCTGCTCAGTAGCCTTCTGTGAACATCTTAAAATAAAACCAAGAGCAAACACTGCCCCCTATTCCCCTTCCCTGCCTTTTTTTCTCAGTAGCATTAAAGATCATAAAACACACTGTATGTTTTCTTATTTATTTTCTCTACTGTCTCTCTTCACTCACCTGCTCCAAGAGGACAAGGGCTTGAAACTGTTTGGCTCGCTGCTGTATCCCCAGTGCCAGGAACCGTGCCTGCACATAGT